TTAAATTACTGGTTCCCCATGAAACTCAACATTAATTTCAAACTTCTTGTCTTTGCCTTCTAGATCTTACAGTGGTCAGTATGTGCTTATGTTTCTGACCTGCTCTCTTGTAGCTTTTCCTCCACTGATCTTGCTATTTTCACCTTTTTTCTTCCTTTCCCCTCATGTGCCTGCTCTGTGGCCCTCACTTGAATTTAAATGTTATATTCCATGTGTTTATTTGTGAGCTGCCTCAGTTCTTCAGTGTGGCTAGTGCTAATGCTAGGGCCTAGAAATAGCCACGCAAGCAGAGTTCCATCTTATGGATTCATTTATCCTCAATGATAGTAAGAAATCAAACAAGATTGTAAGCTCTTGGGGGTAGGGATTGCTTCTCCCTTTGTGTTCACACATTACCTGGCACAGTGGGGCCCTGATCTTGATTGCAGCCTCTGGGCACTACTGCAATATCAAAAGGTTATTCCTCCCTGTGGTATTTAGACCTTATCCTGGAAATATACATACTATTTTAAAGAAGAGTGTTTTTTCTATGTGTCTTTTTTCTAGTTTCCTGTTTATATATTTTTTCTCCCAATCTATAGTCGAGGTATCTCATCTTGCAGTGATAAGAACACTGCAGCACATTGTTTTGTAGGTTTTCTAGTATAATAACCTTTGAAAGAGCAACTTTTATTTCAGCACCACATACAAGATCTGTATTGATACTCTAGGCATTCCCATGGCAAGAAGTCATGAGCTATAGAAGTTGGGTTATATGCGTTTTAAAAAGCAGAGGCTATTGTTACTTTAAGCTGACATCATTTGTGACATGGGCCATATGGGAGCTCTATGTAATAGACAGTACATCCATTTCTAACTTGTTTTCATAATCTATTTAACAAATAAAAGAAAATCTAATGTTTAATATTTAAATAATGTTTAATTTTTAAACAAAGGGGTTTTTGTTGTTTTAATCCATTATTAAAACAGGATAGAAATTTTGCCTACAGCTCTCTATGAAGGACTTCCATAATGCAAGTGTCATAAATGATGATGTTTTTGGTCACCATTATGTAGAAGGTTCATACAGTAACTGTGATTTAAAGTCTCTATTTTCAAATAAATTTGACTGTGTTTTTCACCTTTTAAACTTTCATACTGCTGGATGACTAAAACAGGAACATTTTTATCTTTCATGATAGGATTAAATCTTTTTTAAAATGTATTTATAACTCTTGAATCATAATTAAGAAACAAATGTGTAAGCACTACATTTTTTGTGCAAAGAAATGACTGATTATAAAACTAGGCATTTAAAGTCTAACTATTATGATTCTAGCAACCTGGTAAAATGTTATGAAAAAAATATGATTTAACAAATGTTAGGAGCACAATTAAAATATTTTGATTACCCTAATATCTTGTCTGGGGCAGAACAATTTGATGGGTAATAGTTTCAAGAAAAGGACCATGTTTATTGTGAGATGTTGATTGTAGTTTAAAAGTTCTGTTTGTCTTTTTTGGCTCCTGCTTCATATTGTACTGCAGGAAATGGTGGTAATGAATAAGTATGGGGTGTGCATCTTTTCTTGGTTAGTGATGAATTAGTGTCTGACTGCTGTTAGTGGGCCCTCTGTTGCTTAGTATTCTGTTTTTCTAGTATAGAGGTACTGACTACCTTGTTAAAAATGCCATGCTACTCTTTGCAGGAGTAACAGTAATACATTGCAATTATCAGACAAAACTGTGTAAAGGACATGCAAAGGCCCAATGTACCACTTCTCTTAAGAAGTGTTGCCCAGGCCTTCTGAACCGTGGGGGAGGGGGAAGAGTGAGCAGGAAGAATTTCACTAGCGGTTTCATTTTAGGGTCTCAGAAGACTTCCCAAATGTTAGTTAAGCTGCTGTTCAACCTTAATTCAGCCCCCTTGTGCATATGCATTGTGGTAGTTTTAATTAAATGAACACATGCTATTTTTTTTCCAGAGGACTTCTGCCTCAATGAGTGCTCTGAACACAGAATTATTAATTTCCTCGTGGACTTTTCTATGGCATTCTCCACTATATTAGCTGAGTGCTTCATAAACAGAAATGAATCTGTTTTCACAAGACCCCTGTGAGATGAGGCAGTATTATTTATCTCCATTTCACAGATGGAGAACTGAGGCTAAGAAATATTAAGGTAAAAAGACACCTAGGACCTAATTTTTCAGAGTACTTAGCATTATATAGCACTTCATATGATCGGAGGGTAGCTGCCATTGACTTTATTTGCAATTGTGAGTGCTCAGCCCTTTTGTCAATCAGACTGCAGGATGTCAAGTTGAGCATCCGGTATGTGAGGCATACACAATTAATGACCACGTCTGAAAAGTTTGTCTTAAGTGACTTGACTGGCATCATGTAGGAACTCTGTGGCAGAAGCAAGAATAGAAATCGGTTCTCCAGGGCAGCATTCAACTGTCTTTACCATGAGACTGCCCTTTCTCGTCCTGCAGTACCCTGCCTCATTCACTGCATACCTTCGAGCTTCTGTAACAAATCAGGTAGGGATACTACAGACAAAACAGCCCTTATTCAGCTCCAGAGGAGGTCCATCATTCACACTGAATGAAGCAGGGGTCCTGTGGAAAAATTAGTATGCGATCATGTAATTAAAGACTGTATCATAAAGTGCACACACAGGGGGCTGAATTAAGTTTACACTCTTCTTCCTCTTATGTGGCATCTCCATTACTGGAGGTTTGTAACCATGGTAGCCCATTCTGTATGATCCTCTGCTACTCAATTTGTGGATAAATAATCCTTTTGATCCACCATTTATACCATCTCATCTGTCCAAGATCATCTTTTTCTGTTTAGTGTTTTTCTGTCGTCCGCTTTCTCTTCCAGTACCCATAACATGTATTGACGGCTGAACCTCTTAGATTCAATTTGCAGGGCAAATTTTATCTTTCTTTTCATAAGATTTCTGACTAGCATTTGCTGAGTTTCAGTCATCTCCAATACTGTTTTGTTGGTTACTTGGTCTATCCATGATATATTTTCAGATTTCTTATATAACACCATAATTCAAAGGATTGTAATTTCTTTATTATCAATATTTTGGATGTCCGTGTTTCATAGCTGTAATTTAACACAGACCAAATGTAAGATTTTAAGAGTTGGAATTTAGTCTTCACATTTATGTCCCTTCTCGCAGGGCTCTGGAGCTGTGCTTCGGCTCCAGGCAAAAACCTGCAGCTCCACTGCTCTGGAGCTGCTCCGCGCTCCAGCTCTGGACTCCGCTGCAAAGCCCTGCCTTTTCATCAGATATTTAGTTTAAGGCAACCTTAATGCTGGCATTTCCTAGCTTTTGAGTGCTTGACTTTGCAACTGTAGTAATATTCTTTTTAAATAACTTTTTGGTATGTAATTTCCTAGGTTTTGAAAAAGGAAACTGAACATACAAATTCCATCATGTGGCATCATAGTAACACCCACATGGGTAATCTGCAGGGTTGGAATCTTTAGCTCCACCACGCAGACCTCTCTCACGTGAGCTAAGGGGGTAACTGATAGCAGGTAGAAAAGTCTGTGCCACAAGAGCACACTCCCTTCCAGAGCCTGGAATAGAACCCAAGACTTCTGAGTCTCACCATTCCTTTGTTATCAGCAAATATCTGTGAAACCCACTAGCAGAGTGTCCCATCTCCATCCCAAGTGATTGTCTAAACAGCATAAATATTCTTTTGTCAGCTATCACATTTAACATTTGGGTTTGGGAACTGTGTGCTTCCTGCTCATCAAAGAACTGAAACAATGTTCTTGGGGCACTGAATTACCAGCTGTTGGGCTCTGAGTAGAGCTGAACTGCCAGTGTCATAAGGAGTTAAAAATCTTGACGAACTAGCGGAACTCTAACCTGTGTCTGGTGTAAGAGATCAGAGACCAAAGAGCAGGGATCCAGTCAAATGATACCTTCAAAGAAGAATAACGGATGGTGTGTAATTTCCCTTCCATGTTGGATGAAATGATTTTTATGTATGGTTTTATCAAGCCCTTTGATCCTTCTGATGAAATGTGCTATGAACGGAAGATAATTGTCATATCACTGTGACCCTACTCGTGACATCAACTGAAAATTATCTCACCAATACTACAAGCTGCTTCATAATATAGCCTTTCTGTTTCTGAATATTATTCCACTGCCATAAATGCTTTAGTCATCATTAATTATGTGGAGCCTTTTCTTATTTTTCCCTTGAACTTAGGAAATTGTTCCAAAGTTATTACTTTGTCTATCATATAGAGACCCAGGAATTTGATAGGTATCTTCAATGTACAATGCACAATATAATTATCAGTTTAGGGTGGGATTTTCCAAAAGCACCTAGGGACATTAGGAGCACAAGTCTAATTGAAGTTTGTGTGCATGATGTTAGAATTCTAATGTTCTATATTATCAACAATTCACTTCCAAATAAGTTTTTCCCCCCTCGAACTCTAGGCTATGTTTTCTGATGTTAAAAACACTATCCCTGGAGCAAAATCTGGGTATTTTTAGAAAATACAATCTTTTAATTTCACAAAATAAAACCTAACTGTACTGGGCCAGTGCAAATCTTCTTTAGGAATAAATGGATTAAAATGTACACAATTGTAAAGAATAAAATTCCAGCTAAATTAATAATTGTCGTATCACCCAACATTCTTATCTATGTAACAAGGAGAAACAAAGAAAACATGTTGAAATAACATAGCATTACATGGTATGTTAAATATTGTGAATTTATTTTTGAAGAGTATTTGAGAAATTTATTAATCTCTCCACTGTTTTTAAAATGCTTCAATGTAGATGCTACAAAAACACCATTTCCCCTCTTATTTGGTTAACCAATTTATTTTTAATCTGCATAACCTCACATAGTATTTTCTCCTGTATCTATTACTTTAAAAATATTTTGAGATCAAGATATCTGTCCACTGTGTTGTTAGATGTGTATTCTTTATATTCTGGTTGTTACTGTTTTGTGACGACAGGGAAAGATACAAGTATAATGGGAAGCTAGCGTTAAGGTCACATTCTATGAGTCCACCTCACCGGTCAGATGAGGACAACTGTGCCATGCAGATGCCTGTAAGATACTTTTTTACTTTTTTGTAATAAATTTGATCTTGTTTCAGTGAATTATTTTTATGTAGCCCCATAAAATTGTCATTTCTAATTGTAAAAGTCCTCCTTGTGTGTGGGCAGAGAAATGTAGCAAACAACAGTGGGAAGGACTGAAGCTCACCAAAGTCTGTGCTCTGCAGTTGCCAAAAAAAAAATGTACATTGGTTACTTGCACTTTGTCCTAGGTGGATGACCCTGATTAAGTGCAGAACAAGGCTGGTCAGCTGCATTGTTCCCATTAAACAATTTAGCAAATTAACTGCTGTTGATGCCATCTTGTATTTTTCAATCATAGATTAAAGAAAACTGCTGAGGCTTTTTTGGCTGCATTTAATGATAGTTGACCTTTTGAAGGACTGAATTTTGGACTGATTGTTTTATCCAGTATCAGACAACCAGCATTGTGGCTTAGCAAGAGAGACTAAACAGACTTTATATAGAATCTTTTATCGTCCCAAATATTTGGTGATGATATGTCAATTGCAAGCAATTTAAAAACAAAAGTTCTTGCTAATAAATGTATACAGTTGTCAATATATATGCTATTTCCCTTCATAAATGTGATATCTCTAGACTGTAGGTGGTATCATATTCCATATGTAATTGACATGTTTTTCAATTTAGTAGAGGTGCTAGACACTTTAAAAAAGTGTCTTATTGACCAGTATTTGCTTTATTTGAAGCAAAATAAGTGTTTAATATGAAACACTATTTTATAAAAGAAAAGGAAGGTCTTACATTGAAGACTCTGGGCTGGGATTTAGGAGATCTGGATCCTGTACCCAGCTGTGCCACAAGCTTCCTGTGTGACTTTTGGCAAGTCACGCCATCTTATTTTGCTTTCCTTCATTATCTCAGGGTTGTCTACACAGTGCCTTAAGTTTCCACAAGAGTGATGTAAATTTTAGTCTGCACTAACATGTTGTATACTAACTGGTCTTTGTGGACCCTGCTGGAGCGCACTAACAGTTCCTTTAGTGTGTGTTAATGTAGTCCAGTTTCAAACAGTACTATGTTAGTGTGCACTAGGGAACTTCTAGTGCACACCAGAATGTGGGCCAGTTAGTGTGCAACATGCTAGTGCAGACTGAATTTACACCTCCCTTGTGTGACTAAAGCTCCGTGTAGCCAAGCCTTCAGATACCATTGTGACGAGTGCCATAGAAAAGCCTATAAATAAAATAATTCTTTTTAGCTTTGCTAAACAGTTTGGCTGTTTTGGCTGCCTGGAACAAATAGCATGGTATAGTCTATGATGTGCAGATGTTCTGGCATAATTCAGTCCCAGGTAGAGGAATTAGGGAGTTTACTTAAGAAGTAACGAACTCCCTCAATTGTGCGCTCATTCCTTGAACTAAAAACTCAGTTCTCTACATGGTTATGGTGTCTGAATGAGAACACATTTTCGAACAAAGAGAAGCTTGCATGCGATCTTAAAAACTTCTAGTTAAAAAAACCTAATGAGACAAAATAATTCATGCTTCCGTGTATTGTTTTTTTAACTACTGTAGTTTACTACAATTAAACTTCTATTATAGAACTGAAATAGAAATGTCTGGAATATTTTTCTCTAAGTCTTTTTAATGCATTAAATAAAATAATTAGTTACTGTTATGCTACAGTGAAACCCATTGTGAAAGACACTTGTAGCCTAAAGCAATCACCAGTCACTGCTCAGTGTTGGAAACTGCTTTTCTGGTCTGGAGCTGGTCTGCTGCTCCTCTTGGCTCTGGTGGTGGCTGTTCTGCCCAGTATCACCACTCCCTTCTATACTCCAGTTCACTATCTTCAGCCTTCCTCTATTTTGTGGCTGGTCAATGTGCTTGTTCCCCATCACAGGTAGTCCCACCCAGCTCTGTTTTGGGGTATTGCTAGGCATACATCAGTTCCTTGCAGAAAGGCGGATTTTGGTCTCATCTTATAAATTCACTCCCTGTGAAGGAGGTTACCACAGACAGGGAAAAAAATTATGTTCCATGAAAAATATTGAGGTTCTAAAATTTTGTTTCCCTTCCACCATGGAACGAAACTGAGACCTTTTGAAATTTTTCATGAAAAGTGTGAGAGAAACTCACACACCCCAGCATAGGATTATCGTAATAGCTGGGGCATTCACCTGAGATGTGGAAGATTCAGGTTTAAGTCATTGCTCTGAATCAGAGCAGGGACTTGAACCTGCATGTCTCAGGTGTGTCCCCTCACCACTAGCTATTCTGGGGTGGGTTTTTCTATCTCTGATGTTGATTAGAAATTCCATTCTGAGAAACCATCCCAAGAAAAGTTTAGTGAAAATGGATATGTTTCCATGAAAAGTTTAAGTTTTGACAGAAAATGCTAATTTGACAGAAAAATGTTTTATTGAAAAATTCCCAGCCAGCTTTAGACACCACTCTGGAAACCTGCTTGGCGGGAGGAGGGGTATGTGCGGGGAGGGGAGGGCATGTTCTTTCCGCTTTTATAATGCAGTTATATTTGTTGTTTTGTTACATTTTGAGGCTATGGAAAGGGAGCAGCATTAGGCACAAATTATCTAGCAACAGGTAGGTGGTGGAGATACCTGAATTGAAGCCAAGAGGAGCAGCAGCCCAATTCCAGACTGATGGTTTCTCGGGGGAAAAGTGAGTTTTCAAGGGGGACCAAAACTCTTCTTTCTTTTGATATGGCACCGTATTTTTTTCCTTTGAGGGCAGTATGGTTCAACTAAAAGTTTCTTTAAATTCTATATCGGTCCGCTCTTCTAATATCTCCATTTTCATATTCCAGGGAGATCAACACAAAAAAACCATTTCTTTGGACGACAGTGATCTTGAAGTTCGTCTCAATAGTTGGAATCTTGGGGTAAAATAAACAGTGTATTTATTTATTGGCTTTAAATGAAAGCTGTCTGGTAATTTAGTCTGTTTCTGAAATAGTAAACAATAACTTGGCCATTCCTTTTAGAGATGGAAACAAGTTGGAAGCAATCATGACACTTTGAAAGATAAATCATGAATAAATGTCATTTTGAGAGGAAACTGTTAAAAAACACCTCTCTCTATATCATTATTTTTTAAGGGATGCTGGCATAGGCTCAACACCTCTACCTTGGGTGTAAATCCAGTGATTTGCATAAATCCCTTGTGAAGCAGCCTGCAGTATTGAGGCCGATATTCCTGTACAGTCGTGGCTTCCTAACATATTTGTAAATACTGTACTTTGTTACAACGTTGAATGTTGACAGACTTTACTTTAGCTTGTGAGATAAGTCATCTTTCATCACATAAATTAAATCTGAAAGAGAATACTTCATTCCGAAAATGAGATCGGATGGAGTTCTCCCTCCACCAAGTTCCACAGACAACCTCAGCATATATATTTATTGGATGTTGGCAGTAATGGATGATAGGGCTCTCTGTGCTTTATTTCCACTTTTATCATTAGGAGGACTTTAATTGGGCTTAAAACATTTAGATAGGACATTAACATTTTAAAATATTCCAGCCAGTATATTTTCAGTCTGTCATCTCTCCTTAGGACACAGACATATTTTTAATAGTATTTTAATGTGCTGTGTGTTTTTGGCATTACAATCTACATGAGGCAAATACAGTTAGACAATTAATGTATTTCTTATAAATAGGACGAAAGGAGTTGTTTGTTAAAATCAATTCAATATTGTATTTAAAATATTCTGTATTTTTTCATACATTTGTATGTGCATACAGATTTAGCACATCAGGTTTGATCTTTTTCTGTTGATCTTTAGCAATTAATTCAAGTTTTCTAGACTTGAACAAGTTTAGATTCTACTTTGATTTAAGATAGCTACCATATTGAGATTTTTCTCTCTTCATTCCTTCAGTTACACTCCTCACTATCTCATCACTCATCAGTATGGAACCTGAACAGCAGGGATTTTATAAAGTCCCTACTCTTTATAGCAATATTCTCTCATGATATTTTGTCTAATCCTTCACCAATTTTATTAGGATTATGGATCTAGTCTAGTGGATCTAGAATCATCCAGTTTTCATCCACTTGAATAGATTTTTTTTCCCCTCGCCCTTTTCTTTTTTCATCAGTTTTTCCACTTTGTATTTATTTCTGTGGAGCCAGATTCTCACAAGATTGTTTGGATACTTATTGTACAGAAGTATAATTAGTGTATAGGTTTTGTCTGAGTAAGGATTTGAGGATTGGGTTCAGTGTTCTGGAGTGGTGGTGGACACTCCACACTTAATACTGAAGCTTCTTCATATAAACCCATGACTTTACCAAAAAGAAGTCAATCCCCCTGAAATTTCCTATGTTGTATCTCATCCCAGAGTAGAGTTTTCTAGAGAGTTTGGAAGAAATTGGGAAAGGAATGTTACAGTTACAATGTTCGAAGAATTTTTCTGTCATTCAGTTTTCAAAAAGTTTTCTAATATTTTTTTGACTTGTATCTTCAAAATTGCTATAAATGTGTTTGACCTTGCTGAGGTGCCATTTGCAATTCTAAATTATTTTCTTTTTTTGAGGAGTTTGGGATTATTTCAGGAACAATGAAGATATAAGAGCTGTTTGGGTGTGTACAGTGCAATATTTTAAAAAAGCATAAAAATTCAAAAGTTGCTCATATAAAATGGACCTTTCATTAACTCCAGGCTTTGCTACAGCAGCCTAGGCTGAGCAAGAGGTGTGGGAATTACTGGGTAAGTGATGGAGGAGGGAGTGGATGGGAGGGAGTGGGAGACTGTTGGATCTATGGAGATGGGATGAAGAAGAGCACGGAGGGCTAGGGAATAGAAAAGGGGCATGAAAGGGGAACAGGGGAAAGCGAACACTGAACTGCAAGTGACTGGCAGAGGCACAGGAAATATGCTTCCTATTAAAAGATCCATTTCCAATATTACTATAGCATCAGATCATTACTCATGTAAAAAAATGATGGCCAAGATGTTCAGAAGTGACTAGTGATTTTTGGTATCTGTTCTTGGCTGCCCAACTTGACACCTTAAAGGGGCCTGATTTTCATAAAGTACCAAGCACCACCCTCTGAAAAACAGGCCCCTTTAAGGTATCTCCTACTGGGCATTGAAAAATTGAGATACTCCAAATTGCTCATTGCTTTTGAAAATCTTGGCCTACACAGTTATGTAAATCTGCTGCACGATATAACCCATCGTATCACTGAACAGATCAGTTATTCATAAAAATGTTCGTCTACTCCACCAACAAAATCATGCAATGAGCAAACTTACAGATCTCTGAAAAATTAATATATTCTGAGAGTATATTCATTTGAAAATCTTTCCTGCGTGGTTAAGAAACAATATACTCAATAGTATACCTCACACATTTCCATTACGAAACAGGAAACGTTAAGGTTGAAAGGCTGTAATAATATGATGTGGTGAAAGTAAGCACTGAAGGATTATATTGCATCGAGGTACTGAGTGTTCATTTAACCTTTTTTTTTCTTGATGTAAATCTGTAACTTTTTGGTAGAGGTGGAGGGCATGGAGGTAGGAATGTTAGCTGGGTTCAGCTGAAACACACTTTCAACCTGAACACTTTGTTTAAAATGTTGTTTATTTGGGTTAACATAACGTTTTTCTAGTCTATCTTCCATTTGGTCAAATGTCCGAATGCTGCTTATTTTTCTTATGCTGTGTCCAACATGGATGGACATAACCGTATTTAGAAATCTTGGCCAGTGTTTTGCATTCATGGTGTATGGTTTTCTTCAGTAAAAATGTAAGCGATAACAGAGAACTTCTGTTTTTTTGCTTCTTTTTCACAGTATTATCTCTCATGCTTTGGTGCCTGTTGACATTCTAAATGTAAATTGCACACTTGCTTTTCTTCTTCCCAGAAGAGCAAAAGCTTGACCTTGAGCCAGTTCACTAGCTATCTGCCTGCTTGTTCCAAATCTAAAGGAGAGATGAACGAAAGGGTCCTAGATGCACCACCTTGGCCCTGAGAGCAACTCAACTTGTATACAGCGATAAAAGATCAATTTCTACCATTTTAAGACTTCTCTGAAAAACACATTTTTAAAAGATTCTAAATTACATACCGTGAAATTACCTGAATACTAAACTTCCAAACAGCCTTTTCAGTAGTAGTCAATGCTATACAAGAAATTCCTTGCAGGGGACAATAACAAGAACTTAACAGGCATTTGCAGACTATTGAGAAGTGCATTGTATGAATATCTAGATAGATTAGATTACAAAAATGTGCACGTTTTTTAAACGTGTTAAGTATTTGAATAGTTGGGGAACTTCAGTCTCTGGATGTTTAACAAGTTATAATTTAGGGCTGTCAATCGCAGTTAGCTCATGTGATTAACTAAAAAAAATTAATCGCGACTAATCCCAATTTTAATCGCACTGTTAAACAATAGAATATCAATAACAAATAATAGAATTTACTAAATATTTTGGATGTTTTTCTACATTTTCATATAAATTGTATTCTGTGTTGTAATTGACATCAAAAAGTGTAGAAAACCAAAACAATGTAAAACCTCAGAGCCTACAAGGAGATAATGCTGCTCTCTTAGGATCATAGAAGATTAGGATTGGAAGAGACCTCAGGAGGTCATCTAGGCCAATCCCCTGCTCAAAGCAGCACCAACCCGAACTAAATCATCCCAGGCACGTCTGTGTCAAGCCGGCCCTTTAAAACCTCTAAAGATGGCGATTCCACCACCTCCCTAGGTAACCCATTCCAGGGCTCCACCACCCTCCTAATGAAATAGTTTTTCCTAATATCCAACCTAGACCGCCCCCACTGCAACTTGAGAACAGCTAGAGGGGGAAAGAAGCCTCAAAAGACCGGGAAAGGGTTTAAAGTGAGGGCCAATCAGCTCCTGGCTGACCAATGAGAGGCTGAGAGCTCATAGAATCATAGAAGATTAGGGTTGGAAGAGACCTCAGGAGATCATCTAGTCCAACCCCCGACTCAAAGCAGGACCAACCCCAACTAAATCATGCCAGCTGGGCCTTAAAAACCTCCGAGGATGGAGATTCCACCACCTCCCTAGGTAACCCATTCTAGTTCTTTACCACCCTCCTAGTGAAATAGTTTTTCCTAATATCCAACCTAGACCTCCTCCACTGCAACTTGAGACCATTGCTCTTTGTTCTGTCATCTGCCACCACTGAGAACAGCCTAGCTCCATCCTCTTTGGAACCCCCCTTCAGGTAATTGAAGGCTGCTATCAAATCGCCCCTCTCTCTTCTCTTCTGCAGACTAAATATGTCCAGTTCCCTCAGCCTCTCCTCGTAAGTCATGTGTCCCAGCCCCCTAATCATTTTCGTTGCCCTCCGCTGGACTCTCCAATTTGTCCACATCCTTTCTGTAGTGGGGAGCCCAAAACTGGACGCAATACTCCAGATGTGGCCTCACCAGTGCTGAATAGAGGGGAATAATCACTTCCCTCGATCTGCTGGCAATGCTCCTACTTTTGTAGCCGGCATTGCAAGGTATTTACGTGCCAGATATGCTAAACATTCATTTGGCCCTTTTTTTCTCCGGCCACCATTCCAGAGGACATGTTTCCATGCTGATGAGACTCGTTAAAAATAATGCGTTAATTAAATTTGTGACTGAACTCCCTGGGGGGAGAATTGTTTGTCCCCCTGCTCTCTTTTACCTGCATTCTGCCATATATTTCATGTTGTAGCCGTCTCGGATGAAGACCCAGGACATGTATTCATTTTAGGAACACTTTCACTGCAGATTTGACAAAACGCAAAGAAGGTACCAATGTGAGGTTTCTACAGATAGCTACAGCACTCGACCCAAGATTTAAGAATCTCAGGTGCCTTCCAAAATCTGATTGGGATGGGGTGTGGAGCATGCTTTCA